TACCATCAAAATGATGCCACATGTCAAGATTAATGGTAACCTCTCCAGCTCCTATCTTCTTCAAAAAAATATAGAATGTAAGGTGATACCACATCATTAATATCATGTGGTCTCTCCAAGCAGTGATAGAATACTAAGTGAGTTAATGGGCTTTATTGTTTTACTAATTAGTTGATGACACCATGCGGCACTGATGACGTTATCTCACCGTTACACCCAATATTTACTCCTCTTCTTCCCATTAACTAATCCACTTTCAAAATTCTCTTTCGCAAGATGTGCTTTTTTCTCTTAACCTCTCCACCCTCCCTGTTAACTCCATTCTTAAAAGCATGGCCTAAAAGCTGTATGTATGCATATATATTTGCTCTCTCTGTCTCTCTCTCTCTTCATACCACATGTAACTCTAGTTTACTATCAATGGGCAGAGTACAAGATGAAGCAAACACTAAATCTTAGTAAAAAAAATTTGCAGCATATCAGCCAGTGCCATATCCTGTGCTCATTGGTACCATCAGAACCCAAACAAGTCTCCATTCAAAGATTGGTATCTTCTTCTTAGAGTAAGTCTACAATGACAGCCTTGACTTGATTAGAAATTCATGCCAATTTTTGTTTTGTAATTTTATTTATATAACTTTTTTGAATTTATGCAAATGGATAATGATAGGTTGGAGAGAGTGCAGGAATAGAGAAAATTCAAAAGCTGTACTGCAAAATTGGTAGGTTTCAATAATGGAAATATGAATAGATTTGCTTTCATTTCATGCTTTGGTGGTTGGGGACTGTTTATGTACAGCTTTGCATCTTTATCCTGATAAAAACAAGCATCGTAAGGTTGATATTGCCTTTAAGCTTGTCTCAGAGATGGACTATTTGTGTTTTATCTACCCCTTTTTTTTCTTCTTTTTTTTGGTTCCTCTTTGGAGTGCTTACATAATCACAACTTCCAATCTTCGATCCTTGTGATTATATATCACAAGGCTACCCTCATTACCAGACTCGGAATCAGAAGAGTACAGAGAGTATTTGGTGCTTGAAAATTGGAATTGTTTTGAGCAAAGGTAGACAGATATGTGACTCCCCAGTCTGAGTTTTTGTTTGTTTGTTTGTTTGTTTGTTTTTTTTTTTTTTTTTTTTTGGGGGGGGGGGTGATTTTGTAAATTTAGATCTACTTGTATCGGTTAGTAATCTACAGCAATGGACGTTGTGCTCAATGAACATGAAAATATGTTCTGCTATACACATCATCTGGGTGCCACATTGTGTTAAAAGTTAAAACAAAAATCACAAGATAAGCATAAAACTAACCTTCATTTCACAGTATTGTACGAGGAATGGTAACTAAAATCAAAACTGATAAGATATTGAATTCTATCATCTACTTGCAGAAGCACAGATATAGAAATTTTGTTTTTGCCCCCAACACTGTTTAACCAACCACCGAGTGGGGTGATCCAGTGGGGAGCTGTCATATCGGTTATATTTTTTACTTTGAGATTTGTGATTTGAGTTTTAAAGTCTATATTGGGGTTCGATAGTTAAGTATAATGTTAACTTAGTTATGTTTGTTTTCAAGAGGAATAACGGGTGTAATCAGGAGTTTCATAAGTCCACTAGTGAGGGTTTATCAAAGTAGTTTCTAAATATTTTCTTTTGTCTCCATTCTTTTTTCAATAGCAAAAAAAAAAAGCTGTTTGACTAAAAGGGCTTGTCAGAATGACATTGGGGTAACATAAAAGGCCCCAAATAGCTAACAAGTTTATTTACACAATAATATATCCATGTGGATTAACCAGTGATCCACTCTTCGCATAATTAAAGGTTTCTAAGTATGTCTACCTTATAACTACAAATTTAATTGAATATATTGTGAATTAAAATATAAATTAGTGAATCTAAATGATTTGGGTTGTTGTGCTTTATGTAAGAAAGACTGTGTAATATAATATAGATTAGTCATTATTTTTTTAATATATGGCATTAATCTGTGCTGTTAAATATTAGTTTAGTCATTGTCTTTTTAAGTTTTTTTTATAGAACATGTTAATTATTTAATTAGTAATGTTCGTTGATGTTAAGGATTTTGAAAAGAGTGATTCACAATTTTGATATACGATATTTCATACTTAGAATTCACATGTGACTACTAATATAATTAAGAGTAAATTTGTTAGTGAGAAAAAAATTACAAACTGATTTTGAAAATTTATGAGATGCTTCAATATTTGTGTATTGTAGATTTCAGTTGTTTGACTAATTAATCAAAATATAACATCCCTTTTTAATTTTAAGTGATTAATTGTGTTGCCAAGCATGCCATAATATACAATCTCAACAAATAAGAGATTTTTAAGATTTGTTAAGGGCTATAAAATAGAGCCATCTAAAGAGCTTCACAGAAGAGTCGAGACGACCAACATGCCCAAACTTACATGCCTCATTTTATGTAAAATCCGGGGAAAAAAAATTAAATATTAATTAAATGGATAAAATAATAATTAATTGTTAAAGCACTAGTTAAAAACGTGAATTTTTATAAAATTCAGATGATGAAACAGACTTTACTGTTGAATTCGTCTCGCGAAATATATTAAATTTAAAGTTAGTTCAATAAAAATATATTAAATTTAACACAGGACGAAATTTAATTGATTTGAAATAAAATTAGACTCGTTAAAAAGAAGACGTGTGGTATTATGTATGTGTGTGTAAAACCGGACCGCAGGTGGGATGTTTTGAAAATCCGTTGATGGTGTGGTGTCCCATTGGTGTAAACCATAAATCATCTCCCCATAAAAAAATAAAAAATTAATTAATTAGTCATTGAGTGTATATAACACCAATGATAGGGATTTGGAATGCCTGGATATATACGCATGGTATTGTATGTGTTGTGGGAGCTCGAAATGGGGCTCGGTATTGCTATTACTTGTGTGAGTCTCATCTCATGGTGTGACATGATTTATGACATTTGTTTATAATAGACATATTTGAATGAATGCATGAAATGATTGTTGCATGTGACATTTCATATGCATTTAAGTTGAGAGGTATTCTCTATAGGAGTTACTCTATTGAGCGTTGACTCACCCGTTACAGGAACAATTTTCAAGTACACCACAAGCTTTCACCGAAGGCTGGTCCGCTTTGATGACAGAGTCAAAGTGTAGCTCTTATTTTGATGTCGTAGTCCCTTGTTTATATTTACTTTTAGTCTTGTATAATTTTTATAACAAAAGTTTGTTTATATTTTAAAGGCATGTAAATGAGACTTTTTTAAGACATTTATTCTTTTATGAATGAATGTATGTAATAGTGATGATGATTATGATAGTATCCGATACTATACAATTAAGTGTGGGTGAATGGATCCGGTGCGGTCAATATTTGTACGATTGCATAAGTTGCACTTTGGGTAGAGCTCCCCATACAAAAGAGATTTTGTTAAGTTATGAATTCCGATAAATGGGGCATAAATGCGTGGTATCGAGTTGCACAGTATTCACGGATATTTTGTGGGTTGACGGTTGATCAACAGGATAAATTACGGACATCCAGATTTTGAGATGTTACATTTTATAAAGTGATGACTTGTTATCTAACATGCCTAAGTGTATAAGAAGATTGTTATTTGGACCTAATTTATTAATTTATTTTTTTGATTCAATAATTCACAATCATTGGATTAACTGTGGGGCCATGTACTAATTCAATAGTTGTGATGAATTATGTCAACAAATTATGTCATAATTTTATTATTAAATGTACAATAAAAAATAATAAAGATTTGTTATGTGCTATAATATATCAAATAGATTCATCTATAGAGCTTCACAAGAGAGTTGAGAAAGATAATACACTTAAATCTTAATTACTAATTTTGTAATTACTCTAATAGTATAGATAAGAAGGTGAATTCTCAACTTATAAAAGCACACAACAATGGTTAAAATTGATTCAATATTTATCTATTTTAATTCAATGGTATAAGAATTTATTTATTTATTTTTTGTGACAGTGAAGTTCATCATAAAAAGTAAATTTTTCGCCAGAAATACTTTAAATTTATGTCTAGAATTTGTGACAACAAATAAATTTTTTTTGACAATACAACCGCCGCTTAAGAAGCTTAATAAGAGTCTATCTTTTTGGCTTAATTTTGACTCTTGTCAACAAGTCCAAGCATGATTCAGCTCTCTGAGTTTACATATAACCCCATATTCTTGAGTTCTAATAATGACAGCGATTTTCCACAGAAGAATCACCCAATAATAGGGGAAAATGTTAGACATTAAAGAGATACAATCTTCCACACATTGATAAAACAAAAGGAACTGGAAGTAATAGACAGATTTCTCATCATTTCGAAGCAGGTATATGAATCCCAGGGTTCACTCCAGTGTCAAGTAATAATCTCAGTTAATAATTCCGTCAAAGTCATCGCATACACATAGAAGCAGATCATTTATCAATGAAGATAAGTAGTACAAACACTACCATACCATAACTTCATCTAGCATTTCAATTAAAATTTGAAGTATCTGCCACTAGTAAATAAACACACAAAAGGTTACAGCAGGCAAATGCACATGAGCGGTTAGAGGACTTTCAAAAAACAAATCCAAAGAAATATCACCAATCGACCATAAAATAGACACAAGATGGGAGAAACCAGAGCCAAAGGATTAATGAAGCGATGACATCCCATATGAAAAAAAAAAACATCTACAAGATATACAAAAGGCATATCGAATTCTGTACCAGAGCCGATGCTAATTGCCAAGGATGAACCCACTCTGTGACTTAAATAGGTGACAAGCTGGCTATTACTATGTTCTAGCAGATTACAGGCATCCTTCCTCAAGTAATCGGCATAGAGAGTTTATGACTTCAGGAGAACACATCTCTCGTAGACAGCTACAATATCTTTCTTGTTGGGATTCTTCAATTGCAGCAGTTCAGCACCAAAATTGTTTTGTGAGCTCTTGCTTAAGTTTCTACACTGTGAACTTTGTATAGGCTTCCGAATTGGTTTGTTGGCTGTGGCTCTCTTCATCACCCTTAAATACCGAGCCATCATCTTCTGGTGAAGCAAACATCAAAGGGCTAGTTGTACTTTTGGGCCTCTTATTTCCTATGCTTATTTTATCATTAGTGTCCATGTCGTGAAAGGATTCCACACCCATTTCATAATCATCTACCCTAACACGTTTCCCACGTGAAGCAGTTTTGAGCTTACTATCCAGTGCTGTTTCATTGAGACGGACTGCAGTCAACTGTTGCTGGAGTAAATCAAGTTTTCCTTGCGTGGCTTGCAGCTGAACGGAGAGTGCTTCTGCTCTGTTGTTTGCCTCAGCACGGGCTGTACCCTCGGTCTCCAAAAGAGTCTCAAGGACATGAACCGTACTTGCCCTCTGTTCATTATTTGATTTCAATAGTGACTCGATTTCTTTTTCCCTTTCTTCAACCCTTGCCTCCAGCATTGCAACTTTGGAAGATGCACGGTACCTTTCTACTTCGGGTAATGCTACACTGACCACCAAATCAGTTTTTCGCCTCTCTAGACTTTCAACATGCCTCTTGGGTCTCGGCCCTCTCAATTTGGGCCAATCTTTCCATTGCTATTCTCTGAAACTCACTCTGTCTTTCTGGGCAGTAACTGCTTCTGCTCGGGCTTTGTCAACCATCTTAGTTGCCCTCTTTGCTTCTCTTTTGGCAATTTTACACCTTTCATGGACTTCTCCAAACCTATCAAACTCAGATTGGTACTTCTACTCCAAAAGATTTTTTTCCTGTTTCAGAATCCTAGCTTCTCTTTCAAATGATTGTGCGGTGGCGCTTGCACTCTCTGACCTCTCAGCCAACTCCTTAATCTCAAGCTTTAAGGTTGATATCTCCAGATCTTAGTTCTTTATCTTTGACTCGGCAGCCTGCAAAAAAACACAGATCACAGTAAAGCACCCACAATACATATATCAAGGGTACAGTCTAATTTGCATATCTTGCAACTTAAATTTATATCTTCTTAAGCACTTTGCATCAATTCACAGGACTTACAAAAGAAATAACTGTTCATGGGTATAATAACTTATGGTTTACCGGAAGCCCTTAATAGAGCATAACGGGAAAATAGAATTTATGTATCCCACTCCAAAAATATTGGGACAAAGCTTTTTTGAGTTGAGTTGAGTATTCTTTGAAACATTTAATTTACATCATTTCCGTAGAATTGAGTTAGATTCAATCTACAATAACAACATTACAGCTGCCTATAACCACAAAATAACTGCCGCACGCAACTATCACATGCACCACAACCCCCCACCACATTTATGTTTATCCATTAGTTAGGAATGCTACCAGGTTTTATGAATAAAAAATCACATCCATTAGTTATTAATGCTACCAGGTTTTATGAATTACAAAATCACATCCATTAGTTATTAATGCTACCAGGTTTTATGACCTGGTCTTCCTCAATCTTCTGTTTCGATGAAATTTGTTCATATTTTCTTTTCCATTCCATGGAGTCCTGCCGGGCAGAATCCAATGTTTTTGACAAGCTGGAACTTCGCTCTTCCAGTGAGCTACCTTTACTCTGTAAATTCGTTATGTGGCTCATATAATCATCTGCAAGCTTCTTGTCATTAATAGCATTGACGAGACTTTAGGCGCTACGAGTTAACACGTGGATAGTTATAGCAGTTAGTAATTTCAAAGGATATCAGGTGAGGATGCTGAGGAGTTATGGCATGGAAAAGCCGAGCACCACATATCGAGGCCAGCATTGAAGAAGATATGGCAGTTCATTAGTGACAACTTGAGTGACTTGACATGACCATTAACGAGCCTCTTTATCTTCGAGATCCGTGAAGACAGTCATCATTACAAAATATTAATTACTATTACCTCGACCCATCGTCTTCGACAATAATTGAGGTGCTTATTCCTGAGCAGTGATTGCTCGAACGTAATTGTCAAGCGCCGAGTACAGGTTCTTAAATGATCAGAGATAAATAATTAATGATCGAAGGTCCCCGAGCACGTATTCACTTTGTTGAAAGGGTAAATCTTGAAGGGATTTGATTGGATTGTACTCATTATGCTTGTATATGAGTGTCAGCCATTAAATGCTAAGATGAGACTCACAGACCCCCTAATCATTATTAATTCAAATATAAATATTTATCAGAAAGTTAAACAAAGATACGCAAACCAAATTCAAAAAATACACCATGCTAATATTTCCAATGCCGACTGACTTAAGTTTTAGAGGGAATTAATTGGGTACTCACCCGACTCCTTTCCTAACGTTTTGATTATCAGAATCATCATCCAGCAGATTATTATCTCTACTCATGGCAGGATTTCACCCATGCAAGCATCTTCATAACACTTCAAATATTCATTCTCATACTTCTCACTAGCTTCTAGTTGCTTGTTAAGCAATGTCATCTTATCTTCAATTAAGCGGCATTTCAACATAAGTGAAATTTTATCAGGTCCAGCTTGATCTATTTACTTCTTGATTAGGTCAAAGATTTGACCTTCCAAACTGGGTTGTTCAAAATTTCAGATGAAAATTAAAACCAAAATCAGGTCAACTGAAAAATGAAGATACAAACCTCTGTTGCAAGAACACAAATAGCTTTTGCCATTTTTTCGGACCATGGGGATGATAGGTACTTGGATAGAAGATTATCAAGAACCTATATGGACGTATTTCTGACCGTATCATACTTAATTGATGACCATAATCTACATACACCCAAAACAAATCCATATATCGGTTTGTTCTACAGAACCTGTTGAAAGGTTCCACATAACTGTCTAGCTAGAACTCAATCAAAAAATAGGATAACCACCGCAGTGAAGCAATGAACTAATGGATTAGCAGAAGTTATGTTCATAAAAAAGCCCTTTGCATACAAAAACTTAATGGAAAAAGGCAGCACTGGTGATGACTCCCTAAATCTTATGATTCCATCGTCTAACATAGAGGGCAACGAAAAGACAAGATATGCATCCTCTAAATCTTATTGTGGGCACCGCACCATTATTAAGAGCATCTACGTAGAATTGACTGATACGTGCAAAAGTGGGTCCCATCGTTAAAAGGTAAAATGGTTATTTTATAACATTCGTTAGTTCAATTTGTCTTCTAGTACTAATAAGGGGTCTTAATGTAATTTAACAAATGTGAGGGGAATTTTCTGATTAAGTGATAATCTCAGGGGTGTAAGTATAATTTATCCAACTCAATATATTGCCCAGCCCCAAACATCCGTTTTATTTCCTATTTCGAAATTGGAGAGAGTCGTGTTCAAAAAAATTGGAGAGAGAGAGTGGGAGCGGAAGAGAGACGACGATCATCAACGCCTACTTCGTGAACGCATCGCTGTTCCATCACGGTCAAATTTCACACTGGTTTTTCATCTATATTGCAGCCATGAGAGAGAAGTTACGCCGATTTTAGGACTCTTGACTCACACAGCGAAGTTCTTTGCTGGAGTGTTCTACCATCGTCGATATTACCGTTCTTTGCCGAACCTGCATTCCGGTGAGCCGTTCTTTTCTGAACCTGCATTCCGTTGAGTCGTTCTTTGCTGAGCCTGCATTCTGGCAAGTCATTCTCTAGAAGTTGTTTTGGCGACTAGTGAAATTTTATGAATTTTCAGTTAGTTTTGCGAAAAAGATTCTTTCTTCTTTTTGGAGATATTTGAAATTTAATGTATGTCGACGCATCTGAGGCTTTAAAGGATTGCGTAATTAGGTTGTTTACTTTAGATTTTACTAATTTTATTATTAGACGTTATTTAATATCTGTGATCAAGGAATCGTGCATAACACTTCTTCTGAGTGCAAAAAGATATTGTGGACTTTTTTTTTCTTTTTTGTATTTTTAATCTCCTCATATTCATAATTTATTTGGACCTGTTTGTGCATTATTCCTAATAATGAACAGTATGAAAGATTCAAGAATATGATTAAAGAACTTAGAAGATGATGATCAAAGCATTGCTGCAGAATATCCTTCCATATCTCTCTGTCAACTGGTAGTTATCCTATATATACAGATGCAAAACTGTCTATTATTATTACAACCCTCAAATTAACTGACTGTTAATTGGACAATTGGAACTTAGTTGATTGAATTGGAGTCTTTGCTTAACACAGGTTCCATGATTCTGCTAGATTGGTTTTTTAGTAAATTATAAATAACTGGTTGTTGAGTTACAGGTTGAATAAAAAAGAGGACCTGAATGTGCTGGAAACTAATGAAAAAGTTGAAAAGCTATTATTAACTTCTAAGAAAGAATGAAAACCTTTGGCTTTTTTGTTGGCACGTGTTTTATGGGATTTCCTTCTCTTTTTTATGTCACTTGAGGGTAATATTCCTATAAATATATTAGAAAATTTGAGTGAATATGTATAATTTCTTAAAGTTGTTGGATGTCATAACATATCTTGAAATTAAGGTCAATCATGCCTTTACAAATAATTGACTAATTTTGCATAAAATTGTTCTTTGGCCTTGCTCATGGCAAGAGAGAGTCATGCAAGATAACACATATGGTGTGTTTAAGATAGTTGGATATCTTTTGATTGCAGTTGTCACAATGTTCAGAAGTTACTATTGACACTTTAGGCTGTATAATTCCTCTTGCCAACATCTTTACGCATGCTCAACCCGTTAATCCTAAATTCAGAATGTAAATTTTGTCTTCAACAAAGTTATGTGAAACTTATGTGGAAAATGTTTTTACTAGGAAAATTGTTTTTCATCGTTGGGTTTCTATCAATATGCACAATATTCAAACTATGCTGTCAATCATCACCTCTTAATATTGTTGATATTCTTTATCTGTTATTTTTGGTTTAATATATTCCTATTTCTTCTATCTCCTCAAAATATATTCTCACACATCTTTACTTTTTCTTTTTCTCAAAATGATTTGCTGTGATCGCCCTTCCTTCTGTATCCGACAAAGCTCTTCTCATGTAGCGATGACAAAACTGTGCCTCTATGGGACTGTAATACTGATCATGTCAGTGTTATCTGTTATGATTATTTTCTTTGTGAATGGGTTCTTTTAAAATTTTGTACATATTTGTTATGATTTTTCCACGGGTAATGCAGTGTGCTGTTGTTGTTAAACTTGAAAGCACAAGTGGGACTTTGATTAGTAAAGGTCCATGGGTGTTTTTTCGGATTGTGAAATGCTATTAAGGTAGTTTCTTTCGGTTCGTTAACATAAATAATTTTTATTGTAACCATGCTGTCTTGATAAAGTTTTTCCATTGCATTGTTGATGATATCTTTCCTTCATTTGGCATATGTGGGTGATATTGTAGGCATGGGACATTCAATTTAATGGTGAACACACTCTTGATGGACTAGTTGGGCAAATCTATCCTTGGTTTGTGGATAATGACTTGCTTTTTGCTGCGACATAGGTAACTGTTTTCAGGACTATTGAATTGCTTCATGACTTATTTATTTGCTAAAGAACTTGAGTGGTTAGGCACTTATTTTTTACACCTTTGTGGCTGCAGGATGAGATCATACTAGCCTAGAAATCCAGCTTTGTAACCAGTTGCCCTGAACTGACTACATTGATGAAGGGTTACACCCGTGCTGTACTTTCGCTCGTTGTTGGAGCCAATAGGCTCTACTTCGGTTCCATGGACAAGACAGTAAGAGTATCTTGCAGTTTTAATTTTTGTCCAGCTAATATGCCTTCAAGCTGTCTAGAGCACGTGTGAGACAACATTCAGCCTAATTTATTGTCTCTAATCTATGTGTTCTACATTTTTATGGTACTTTTGTACAAAATAATATGATTCTGGTCTATACACCAATCTAAGGAGTGGAGGCTTTGTCTGCTACCATATTTGAATGCATATGTGTATGTGCGTGTGAAGTGCACTTGGTTCTGCATGCCTCAATATCAAATTTTTTGAACTGTTGGTTCTTGATTTGCTCACAAATTCTATATTTAATGCGTGTAATAGATGTACCCTGTTCACAGCCTCATTTTAGTGATCCTTGCCACTTGATGCTTATTTTGGACCACCTTTATTGTTTATGGTGACATTATCATATTTTGTGGCTACATTATCATATTGACTGAAATCAAGGAATATAAGAAGAAAAACTTGATAACAGAAAATAATAACTAAAATTTTTTGTGCATAAATCTGACGAGTCAAGAATATCGTTGTATGTGCTTCTTAATTTGGTATTTCACAAATTGACTTATAAATATCTTGTTTCTTCAGTTATCGAGTATGTTTAAGTTCTTAATATTGCAAAGCATTATATATCATTGTATTTTTTCTTTCTTCAGGTCTGGGACCTCCAAGCTTTACAGTGTGTCCAGATACTTAATGGTCATGCTGATGTTGTGATGTCTGTCCTTTGCTGGGATAGCTTTTTGTTATCTGGTACCTTGGACAATACAATTAAGGTTTGGGCTGCAACTGAAAGTGGGAACTTGAGCATGTAAGTAGTTCAACAACATCTTTTTCCTCTATATTTTTGTAAACTATATTATGATATTTATGACCCAAAATATTTAGTGCTATATGGTCTATGGACTAATCATCATATTATTTATGACCATAGTTGTCAAATCATGTATCAGAAGGCGTATTGTTTTTTAAAAATAGTGTATTGTATCGTATTGTGTATCGTAAGATACGCGCAATTTTAATTTTTAAATAATTATTAATAAAATATATGTATATACCTTTATAAAAAAGTCATAGACTCATAATAACATAGTATTTCATTAATATTCTACCAACTATTCAAGTTTTCAACATAGTTCATTAATATTAAAATAGAAAGACCTCTAATTCAAACTTCTAACATCGATTGCTTGAACAATTTTAATATTAATCAGAAATTTTGAATTTAATTGAACATTAACATTAGACTTTATTTATTTTTTTTAAACTATACTCACTGAAACGACGATGTTCACTGGCTAGTGATTTAAAAAGAAGTCCTAGGGTCAAATAATGTTATTTCAACCTCAAAAAAAAAAAAAAATAGAATCGTCACGTATCGTATTATATCGTATCGTGTATCGTACGAGACAATGCAAAAACGATACAGAGACACGATATGTATCATTTTTTAGGTATATCGCGACATATCGTACGATACTAATAACTATGTAAATGACCAAATGTATTTATGTTATCAATTTATCCTACAAGAAGTAAAGTTCGTATCGAAAGCACATTTTATATAGAATTCATTGTGTCTCTCTGATGGACTGTTAGATAAATTGGTGGGGATGAAATTCATTTCTGGACAATACTTCTGTGCTGATGCAGTGTTACGGAAGCTTTTTCATCCCAACATCAAACTTTTGCTTTTAAGTGAAGGGTCAAAAGGATGCTGATAATACACAAAGATGAGACTACGAAACTAAATTTCAAATTATTTATAATATGTAAAAATTGCTAATGGCAGCTATGCTTTGCTTTTCTCAAGTCAATACCTGATGGTTAATATTAGTGGAAATATTGTTGCTTTTACATATTCTGTCAGTCCTCCCATTTCTTAAAAAGCTATTAGTTCAGATTGTTACATGTTTGGTTTGCTGTTCCATACATATTCCTATGCAGATGTAAGTTTGATTAGGTATCTGATTGCGAATTAAAGGTTATCAGTCATTTACCAGTTCTGTTTGATTTAGTGGAGTCGTCAAAAAGTTGGTTTAATTAATTGGTAGTGGGATCTCTTAGTACCTTATTTTCTCATGTTTGTGGTGGATGAATTTACTTGATTTATCCTTGCAATGAATCAAGTGGTGGTTTCTACAATTTACAATAGTAATTTGCACATTCTGGTTTTTTGCATGTAAAGGATATCATTTTTTTTCTTTCTGGTGAACAGTGTAAAATCCTTCAAGTCAATGATTTCATTGATTGCTTTCTAAAAACAAACTATTTTAAGATCAACATAGATAAAAGGCCTATGACTAGCATCATGCATTATTTTGCTTTATTCTTGTGTGGTATCAGTGTTTGGCGTCTCTTGTTTTCCGGTCTTTCTTGGATATAATCAGGTGAATGCTAGGTCCTAATACTGGTGGGTATTTGGATGCGCAAAAGCTTGGCAAATTGGATGCAACTTTGTGTCACTGTAGGAATGAGAGTCATAATTCGGACGGCTTAGGTCAACAATTTGAAGAATGTCTTATAACTTCTAAAAATAGCACTTAGATGCAAAATTGTGGAAAGACTTCATTCTAGCAGATATATGGGATTTATTGATTTAAGAGACACCTTTGTGGTAGGTTCAAGGTTTGTTGCCTGTGTTTGAGATTGAAATCACATCAAATAAGATTGACTGGGTTAAGGTATTTAAATCTTGAATAGTATATATAAATAACAGATACCTTAGTTTAGGTTATATTGACCTATTGTGTATTCTTATATTCCCATTCAATTACAAGAAGAAAAAGCGAAGCAGCCTGATATTATTGTGCAGCTTAATGTTATATGCATGCTAGTTGATCTGAATGTTTCTGTCAAGAAGCCCGAAGTGGTGGATATGACATTGCCACTCTTTATTGAAAGTCTATAAGAGGTTGACGCTTCAACTCCTGGCTTATTGTGATTTTGAGTATGAACATATCTTTCTAAAACATGTATTTAATGTAATTATATGTTTTCTGCTAAGGTTTGAAAGTTTCTTCAGTTGAATATATCATTCAAATGGCTAAGGCTTAAATCTAATCTATCGCGTGGTTTCTTAACATTTCTTTGTGGAGTTATTGCAGCTTCTTGATGTTGTTTCTTGCACGGTGAGTTTAGATTTTTAAAAATCTAGAATGTGTTGAGGTACGCTCTAGCTTATAACTTTTGAATAGTATGTGATATTATCAGAATTCATTCTAGTAAGTGAATGTTCACCAGTTCAATGATTCAATCACATTTCTATGCACTTCCAGGCTTTCATTTGATTGTGACCAGTCTTAGCGGCACTATATTGAGGTGAGGCTATCGGCATCATTTTCTATCTTTGTGCTCAGATGTAGGCTTAACTGCTAAGACTAGAAAGGTAGGAATCCACTGGTATTGCTTAATGTCATGTCGTGGTTTGATTTAATTGGATTTATCTTCTGAAGTGGTTTTTCTTATAAATTGTGCTCTCTTTTGGTGGATTTCTGCACCAGTCATCAATTGTACAGAGCTTTCCTGACTAAATAAATTTGGAAATTAGCAAGAGTGGAGCATATTTTCTTAGACCTCTACTTCCAGTTGTCTTTGGTCCCATTATTGACGTTGAACTTTTTCCTTTGCAGTTATTTCGCAACTTGTGTTCCTATGTTGCTTTTTGTGGATTAGCACCCAAGAAACTGTCCCTGATAAAGTCAGTTTCCACTAGCTTGAATTATGTGGGGAGCGTGGGTGCAATTGTTCTTCCAGCAGTGAATGTGGATGGGCCATACATGTGGAATACTCAGTGGCCTTCTGCCGTTCAGCGTACCTCAAGGGACCCCAACCCTGGAAAGTTGGTCTTCAACAAAAATTAGCACGATTTTATTTTCCATTTGACTAAATCATGAATATCTCTCCTTTTTTTTTTTGGGTCATCTATTGATGCTATCCTTCTGTATTATCTATCTATTTTGAAGTGTCTAGTACATGCTTAACCTGTGATGCACATAATGTTTTTTTGCTTTTTTTTCTTTACCTCATAATGTCATGTTTGTGGCTTGTCTTACATGAATCTAGGAGTGCATAGGCATGTTGCATCTGACATAAATGCAGCCGTGTTGAATATTATTCTCGCTACTTATTATATGTGGAATGATTGGAGATGGTCAAACTATTAAGGTTTGACACAAAATGTTTTTCTCCAGGTTCTTATTTATGGGAATATCTTGAAGTTGAGTTGGAACTTAATGCTCTTGATAACCCTGGCAGTCGCTAAGGGAGTGGCAATGAGAAAGCTGCTGTAAGCCAAGGAGTTGCTCTTTCTGCCTCTTTAGGAGGGCAAGTTGTGGTTGGAGCAATGAACACAATTTCAGGTATGGCAAACTCCTTAGTATTTACTTGTGAAACAGATATGGATTCTCTGTGTTTCATGTTTGTTTTGCTAGCCGGTGGTTGTTGGTTTTAGAGATTGAGAAAATTTGTGGTTATGGAATGTGCGTTGTAGGCTTCACGCTTCAGTGCTTATAGAATTGTTCAAATTAGAAGTCATAGTTTTATGCAAATAATGTTGAAATGCTGCCTTTTTTCTGACTGCAACGGGTGTCAAGGCAACGTATCTCCTTCTGGTAGCTTTTTTACAGGTAAGCTTTCCTTTAATTACTTTGGTGGGATCATAAGATATGGAAATATTCAATACCAACTTTTTCCCAACCCAGGTACCCCGGAAAAAGAAAAACTACTCGAAACAAAATGATTTGCCATTTGTCAAATGGCAATCAATGGGTTTTTTTCGGTATAATGGTGATTCCCGAGTATTATAAACAAGTATTGCATATTTTAGTATTACATGTTCATCTCTTTATTAGAATCACCCACTATGTTCATCTCTTTATCAGAAACACCCTCTATTTTCATCTCTTTATCAAAATAACACTACGAAAAAGATGACTACTATAAAGAAGATAAAGAACAAGAAGACAACTATGAAGAAGAAGAACAAGAACATGAACATTACGAACAAGAACATGAACATTACGAACAAGAACATTACAAAAAAAATAAAATAGAAAAAGAAAAAGAAGAATAAGAACAATACAAAGAAAAAGACGACTAAGAAAAAAAAAGAATACTAGATTATGGAGAAGAAGAAGTTCTTGAAGTAGAAAAATAAGAAGACGATGAACGGCGGAGAAGAAGATGACTACGAAGAAGAAAAATATTATGATGAAGAAGAAGAAGAAGAAGAAGAAGAATAAGGAATACGAATAAGAAAACTACAAGGAGGAAAAAGATAATGAAGAAGAAAAAAATTACAAGATGACAACGAAGAAGAAGAAGAGTAGGAAGAAGAAGAATGGCGCTATGAAGAAGAACAAAACAGTTTACAAATAAGAAGTTTCGAAGAAGAAGACTGCAGAGAAGAAGAATAATAACACTACAAAGAAGAAATAGAATAAGAAGAAGGTTGCGAAGAGAAAAAGAGAACTTGAAAGGGGGAAAACTAGGACTTATGATGCTTCTATGTTTATGGTTAGGGCTTAGACAATGCACAAGCAAATTTTTGTGTCTCTCGTATGAGATTACACAATGAAACTCAAGTCTCGAACAAACTCATCTCTAATGGCCAAGACTATCATTTTCATCCTCTTCATTTCCTTCCTCTCCGGCGTGATGCATGTCAAGTCACCCTCCATGTTCATCTCTTTATCATAATCACCTTCTATGTTCGTCTTTTTATTAGAAACTCTCTTTATGTTATCTGTTTATCAAAATACGAGTACGAAAACTACGAAGAAGAAGACTAATATAAAGAAGATAACGAGCAAGAAGACGACTATGAAGAAGAAGAATACGAACATGAATACTACAAACAAGAACAAGAACACTATGAAGAAGAAGAAGAATACAAATAAAAAGACTACGGAAAAAAAGAAGACTTGATGATGGAGAATAAGAAGTTCTTGAAGAAGAAAAATAAGAAGACGATGACTAAGAAGAAGATAACTGCGACGACGAATGACGGAGAAGAAGAAGATTACGAAGAAGAAAAATAAGAAGAATAAGACTACAATGACAAAGACTATAACGACAAAGATTACGAAGAAGAAGAAGAAAAATAAGGAATACAAATAAGAAGACTACAAAGAGAAAGAAGATTATGACGAAGAAAAAAAACTACAAGATGACTACGGAGAAGAAGAACATGAAGAAGAAGAAGAAGAATGAAGTCAGCGAAGAAGAATAAAAAAACTACTACGAAGAAGAAAGAAACAACTTACAAATAAGAAGTTTCAAATAAGAAGAAGAGGAATAACAACAACACTCTACGAAGAATAAATGGAATAAGAAGAAGATTGTGAAGAGATAGAGAGAGAATCTGAGAGGGGAAAGATTGGGACTTGCGATGCTTTTGTGTTCGTGGTTGGGGCTTAGATCCATAACCAAATCTCAGTTTCTCATTATGTGTGTCTCGTATGAGATTGCACAATGAAGCTCAAGTCTCGAACTCTTGAACAAACTCATCTACAAAGGCCAAGACTATCATCTTCATCCTCGTTCTCATTTTCCTTTCCTTCCTCTTTGCCGTGATGAGTATCTGAGCACCCTCCATGTTCATATCTTTATCAAAATCACCCTCTTTGTTTATCTATTTATCGGAAACACCCTTTGTGCTATCTCTTCAAAATACAAGTAAGAAGACTACGAAGAAGACGACTACTATACAGAAGATAAAGAATAAGAAGATGACTACGAAGACGAACAAGAACATGAACACTACGAAGAAGAACACGAAGAAGAAGAATAAGAAAACTAACAAGAAGAAGAAGACTATGAAAAATAAGAAGATGATGACTACGAAGGAAACTGCGACAACAAATGGTGGAGAAGAAGAATACTATAAAGAAGAAAAATAAGAAGAAAAAGATTACGAAGAAGAAAACTACAATGACAAAGACCATGAAGAAAAAGAAGACGAGGAATAAGGAATACGAAGGGGACTACAAAGAGGAAGAATAAGAATAAGGAATACGAAGAAGACTACAAAGAGGAAGAAGATTACGAAGAAGAAAAAAACTACAAGATGACTACGGAGAAGAAGAATGATGTCTACGAAGAATAATAATAAGACGATTATGATGGAGAAAGAAGCATTCTACAAATAAGTTGTGAAGAAGAAAAAGTCTACGAAGAAGAAGAAAAGGAATAAAAACAACACTACAAAGAAGAAATGGAATAAGAAAAAAATATTGTGGACCTTTTTTTTCTTTTTTGTTTTATTAATCTACTCCTATCCGTAAATTTCTTAGGACCTGTTTGTGAATTATTTCTAATAATGAACAGTATGAAAGATTCAAGAATATGATTAAAGAACTTAGAAGAAGATGATCAAAGCATTGCTGCATAATATCCTTCCATCTCTCTGTTAACTTGTAGTTATACAGATGCAAAAGTATCTACTATTATTACATCCCTCAAATTAACTGACAGTTAATTGGACAATTGAACTTAGTCGATTGAATTGGAGTCTTTGTTTAAAACAGTTTGCATGATTCGGCTAGATTGTAGTAAATCATAAATAACTGGTTGTTGAGTTCCACGTGGAAGAAAAAAGAGGACCTGAATATGCTAGAAATTAATGAAAAATTGAAAAGCTATTATTAACTTCTAAGAAATAATGAAAATCTTGGACCTTTTTTGTTGGCACATATTTTAGGGGATTGCCTTCTCCTTTTTTATGTCACTTGAGGGTAATATTTCTATAAAAATATTAGAATTTGAGTGAATATGTATTATTTCTTAAAGTTATTGGATGTCATAACTTATCTTGAAATTAAGGTCAATCATGTCTTTACCAATAATTGACTAATTTTGCATGAAATTGTTCATGGCAAGAAAGTCATACAAGATAACACGTTTGTGTTAAAGATAGTTGGAAATCTGATTACATTTGTCACAATGTTCAGGAAGTTACTATTTTCACTTTAGGCTGTATAATTCCTCTTGCCAACATCTTTACGCATGCCCAACCCGTTAATCCTAAATTCAGAATGTAAATTTTGTCTTCACAAAAGTTATGTGAACCTTATGTGGAAAATGCAATTACTGGGAAAACTGTTTTTCATCATTGGCTTCTTTTAAATATGCACAATATTGAAACCATGATTTGGATTCTACACGCTAGGCAGTCAATCATCACCTCTTAGTATTGTTGATATTCTTTGTCTTTTATTTTTGGTTTCATATATTCCTATTTCTTCCATCTACTCAAAATAAATGCTCACACATTTTTATTTTTTCTTTTTTCTTTTTTCAAAATGATCTGTGGGGATTGCCCTTCCTTCTGGGTCCGACAAAGCTTTTCTCATGTAGCAATGACAAAACTGTACCTCAATGGGACTGCAATACTGGTCAGGTGAGTGTTACCTGTTCTGATTATTCTTTGTGAATGGGCTCTCTTAAAATTTTGTACATATTTGTTATAATTTTTCCATGTGTAATTCAGTGTGCTGCTGCTGTTAAACTTGAGAGCACAAGTGGGACTTTGATCAGTGAAGGTCCATCGTTGTTTGTCGGATTGCAAAATGCTGTTAAAGCTAGTTTCTTTGGGTTCTTTAACATCAATAATTTTTATTTTAGCCAAGCCGTCTTGATCAATTTGTCCCAGTGTATTGTTGATGGTACCTTTCCTTCATTTGGCATATGTGGGTGATATTGTAGGCATAGGACATTCAGTTTAATGGTGAACACACTCTTAATGGACTAGTTGGGCAAATTTATGCCTTGCTTTGTGTATAATGGCTTGCTTTTTGCTGCGACATAGGTAACTGTTTTCAGGACTATTGAATTGCTTCATGTCTTATTTATTTGCTAAAAAACTTGAGTGGTTAGGCACTTATTTTTTATACTTTTGTGGCTGCAGGATGAGATCATACTAGGCTGGAAATCCAGTTTTGTAACCAGTTTCCCTGAACTGGTTACATCGCTGAAGGGTTACACCTGTGTTGTGCTTTCGCTCATTGTTGGAGTCAATAGGCTCTATTTTGGTTCCATGGACAAGACGGTAAGAGTATTTTGCTGTTCTGATTTTTTTCCAATCTGTCTAGGGCATGTGTGAGACAACCTTCAACCTAATTTATTGTCTCTAATCTAGTGTGTCCTACATTTTTATGTTACTTATGTACAAATTAATATGATTCTGGTCTATACACCAGTCTAAGGAGTGGAGGCTTTGTCTGCTACCATATATGAATGTGTGTGTGTTTGTGCGTGTGAAGTGCACTTGGTTCTGCATGCCTCAATATCACATTTTTTGAACTGTTGGTTCTCGATTTGCTCACAAATTATATATTTAATGCATGTAATATAGCCACTTTGTTCAGAGCCTCGTTTTAGTGATTCTTGCCACGTGATGCTTATTTTGGACCACCTTTACTATTTGTGGCTACATAATCATATTGACTGAAATCAAGGAATATAAGAAGAAAAACTTGGTAACAGGAAAGAATAACTAAATTTTTTGTGCATAAATCTGACGAGTCAAGAATATCATTGTTTGTGCTTCTTACTTTGGTAGTTCACAAATTGACTTCTAAATATCTTGTTTCTTCGGTTGTCGAGTATGTTTAAGTTCTTAATTTGGCAAAGCATTATATATCATCGTATTTTTTCTTTCTTCTGGTCTGGGACCTCCATGCTTTACAGTGTATCCAGATACTTAATGGTCATGCAGATGTTGTGATGTCTGTCCCTGGGGTAGCTTCTTGTTATTTGGTACCCTGGGCAGTACAACTATTTTGACTTTATCCTACAAGAAGTAAAGGTCGTATGCCAATCGAAAGCACTACTATGTTATATAAGTTATTAGATCCATGTTCTCAAGATTTTCAAATATTCAATTTTCGTCATCATTGTAATAGAAAAGCCATATTTAGTGAGAATGGTGCAGTCCAAGGTCCCATGGAAGTTGCAGCAAAAGTACAATGTCAACTCCAAAGTAATTTTCTATGCCTTAGGAAAAAAATGACCTTTTTTTGTTCTTTATGGGATTTTTAGTTTTGTAAATACTATATAAATGTTGTACAGAATAAAGGGAAAGATTGGTTGGAAATTGCTACTCCCAAGAATGCTACTAACATGATATAATCCAAAGGAAATTTTTTTACACAAATTCCATGCCCTGTTGGTTTGTGTTTCTTATTTCATTGAGTGTGTACATGTTTACTATTGAATATTCACATATCTATTCATCCTTGTGAATTTATTGCAATTATTTTGTTTCAGTAATTGTAACGCAATTGAAAATTATTTTTCCATTGCAGCACAACATTTTTTCCTACAACAATGTTACTGACTTTATTGTATTCAATGCAGGCTAGGATCTTATGCTGTGATTCAGTTAGTTTGATTGAGAAACGATGTCAACCCCTCTTGCTGTAATGATCATTGCAAGAAAATTTGGTAGCATCTGCTCATATCATCCAAAATTGAGATTGTTGTTACAACCATCAGCACATGCTGCTTGGTAAGGAATAATGAGCATATGGGATCATGGGGTAAAATTTGTTGGTAAGTGTAATAAGATTTTTGTGCTGTTAGGTGCTAAGCCAATTAGCCGGCAACCTTTATATAGCTGCTATGACCTTAAAAAAGACACATTTTATATAGAACTCATTGTGTCTCTCTGATGGACTGATAGATAAATTGGTGAGGATGAAATTCATTTTTGGAGAATACTTCTGTGCTAACGTAGTGTTAAAGAGGCTTTTTCTTCCCAGCATCAACTTTTGCTTCTAAGTGAAGGGTCAAAGGTTGATGATAATACACAAAGATAAGACTACGAAACTAAATCTGAAATTATTTGTAATATGTCAAAATTGCCAGTGGTAGGTATGCTTTGCTTTTCTCAAGTCAATGCCTGATGGTTAATATTAGCGGAAATGTTGTTGCTTTTACATATCATTCTGTCAATCCTCCCTTTTCTTAAAAAGCTATTAGTTCAGATTGTTACATGTTTGGTTTGCTGTTCCATACATATTCTTACGCAGATGCAAGTTTAATTAGGTATCTGATTGTGAATTAAAGGTTACCTGTCATGTACCAGTTCTGTTTCATTTAGTGGAGTCATCAAAAAGTAGGTTTAATTAATTGGTAGTGGGATCTCTTAGTACCTTATTTTCTCATGCTTGTGGTGGATGAATTACCTTATTTATCCTTGCAATGAATCAGTTGGTGGTTTATGCAATTTACAATATTAATTTGCACATTTTGGTCTTTTGTCTGTAAAGGATACTATAATTTTTTTTTCTTCTGGTGAACAGTGTAAAACCCTTCATCTCAATGATTTCATTGATTGCTTTCTAAAAACAAACTATTGTAAGATCAACATGGATAAAAAGGCCTATGACTAGCATCATGCATTATTTTGCGTTATTCTTGTGTGGTATCAGTGTTTGGCATCTCTTGTTTTTCAGTCTTTCTTGGGTATAATCAAGTGAGTGCTAGGTCCTAATGCTGGTGGGTATTTGGATGTGCAAAATCTTGTTAAATTGAATGCAACTTTGTGTCACTATAGGAAATGAGAATCATAATTCTGATGACTTAGGTCAACAATTTGAAGAATGTCTTATAACTTCTAAAAATAGCACTTATATGCAAAACTGTGGAAAGACTTCATTCTAGTGGACATATGGGATTTACTGATTTAAGAGACACCTTCGTGGATTGGTGCAAAGTTTGTTGCCTGTGTTTGGGATTGAAATCACATCAAATAAGATTGACTGGGGTAAGATATTTAAAAGGTGAATAGTGTATATAAATAACTAATATCTTAGTTTAGTTTATATTGACCTTCTGTGTATTCTTCTATTCCCTTTTATTACAGGAAGCAAAAGCGAAGCCGCCTGTTCTTATTGTGCAGCTTAATGTTATACACATGCTAGCTGATCTGAATGTTTCTGTCAAGAGGCCCGAAGTGGTGGATGTGATATTGCCACTCTTTATTAAAAGTCTATAAAATGGTGATGCTTGAACGCCCGACTTATTGCGATTCTGAGTATGAACATATCTTTCTCAAGCATGTATTTAATGTAATTATATGCTTTCTGCTAAAGTTTGGAAGTTTCTTCAGTTGAATTTATCATTCAAATGGCTAAGGCTTAAATCAAATCATTTTGCTTCTAACATTTCTTTGTGGAGTTATTGCAGTTTCTTGATGTTGTTTCTTGCACGGTGTGTCTAGATTTTTAAACATCCGGAATGTGTTGAGGTATGTTCTAGCTTATAACTTTTGAATAGTATGTGATTATTAGGCTTCATTCTAGTAAGTGAATGCTCACCGGTTCAATGATTCAATCACATTTCTATAAACTTTCTGCAGGCTTTCATTTGATTGCGATCAGTCTTAGCTGCACTAAATTGAGGTGAGGCTATCGGCATCGTTTGCTATCTTTGTGCTCAGATGTAGGCTTTGGCTGCAAAGTCTAGAAAGGTAGCAATCCACTGTTTTTGCTTAATGTCATGCCTTGGTTTGATTTATACAACTTATCTTCTGAAGTGATTTTTCTGATAAATTGTGCTATCTTTTGGTGGATTTCTGCACCAATCATCGATTGTACAGAGCTTTCTTAACTAAAGAAATTTGGAACTTAGCAAGAGTGGAGCATATTTTCTTGAACCTCTACTTCCTGTTGTGGTCAAAATGGTAAAGTTTTTCTTTGATCCTATTATTGACGTTGAACGTTTTCTTTTGAAGTTATTTCGCAACTTGTGTTCCTATGTTGCTTTCTGTGGGTTAGCACCTCCAATACAGGAAACTGTCCCTGATAAAGTCAGTTTCCACTTGCTTGAATTATGTGGGGAGCATGGGTGCAATTGTTCTTCAAGCAGTGGATGGACCATACATGTGGAATACTCGGTGGTCTTCTTGTAACGCCCCAAAACACACCCTGGATGACATTATATTCTAAAATCATTCATATCATGAGAGCACTAATATAATCCCTTAAGAAACAAGACTTCATTTGTCATCCATGAATATTTACAATATTATCCAAAAGAATAAGCCCAAGTCATGGCTATTACATCTCAAAAATTAATTAAGAAAGCGCAGCGGAATAAATAGAAGAAGCTAGACTACACAATGTTCCAAAAGAATATCCTAGTCTAGTACAAAAGGAAAGGAGGTCGCTCTATGCGTCCACCTCGGGATCCACACTCCCGTCCCGTGGAGTCTCCCAAGTAGCGGGCTCCTCGACCCTTACGTCCTCCTCCTCAAGCGGGTAATCTGAAAAATGTTAGCGATAGGGGGTGTGCACGAAGTTCTGTAGAAAAATTCTCCCAAACCTATATAAGGTTTAGAAAAATATTTAAAACGGTCGGTCTCAATTTTAACATAACATAGATACATAATTTGAAATAAAGCAGTGACATTTAAAAAGGATCTCAAGTTTATTTAAAAACATTACTTAAATGAATAAATGAGCACCACATACAAATAATAACCATTAATTGCCATAACCAATTCTCAACAATTCTTTCGGTAGGTGACATACTTTGTGGTAACCAACATCCCCCTTTTTAGGTCACCTTTTATTCTCAAGCATCCTTACCGTGAACCTCTTGAAAATGGATGAGCATCCTTACATGGAACTTCTCACCAATCACTACATTATTTCCCAAGCATCCTTACCAGGAACCTCTTGGGAAGGGTGAGCATCCTTACAAGGAACCTCTCACTCATATGCATCATAAACAACCCAACCAAGCATACAATTCCAACATTTATCTCAATTTACAAGCATCTATCCAAAATTCCTAAAATATATCATATAACAATTCTACAACTAACTAATAAAATACATGAGATCACAATAACATCATTTTTCTACCCAACACAAAGCACTAAGGTTTCGAAATTCATAATAAAGAAAGCATTTAGGAAGGAAATACACCACTCTCCAAAAATTAGGGTTTTAAAACTAGAAAGGAGATTTCATGGGTATTAAACCCTACTTTGTTCAAAACATGTAATCCTTGTAAAAAGCCTAAGAGAGGATGATTCCATAACATATATATATCATTGATAGTCAAAACATACATATATAAATACCCTAGCCTCAATGTAAATGAATGAGAGAAAATCCCTACCTTGAATCCTTAGCTTTAGAGTGAAGAACAAGAATATTTGATCTTGAATCACCCTTGAATCTCTTGTTTTTCCCTTTCTTTCTTCTTCTCTAATGCCCTCTAGGGTTTCAAGAGGTGTGGGGGTGTGAGGGGAGTGAATGAAATGAGAGCAAATGAGATGAAAATGAGTTTAAAACATAGCAGCCCCGAAAAATACTGTTCACAGACTGTTTTGGGTTTCTCCAAATTTACAGTTTTGCTACTAAGAATATCCAATTTGATCCATATGACTACCCTAAGGTTTTTCGACGTTCCGGATTCATTTTTAATGTTATTTTAACCTAAAAACATTTATTTTTATGATTTATCTCAACACCCAAGTCAACGTATACCCGAAACACTAAAGTTTCTATTTTACCCATCCGAATCGGCTATTAATGAAGTTTTGCGATGTTTGCAAATAAAAGGTGATAAAGAGTGTTTCTTAAAGCCTTTTATACTTATTTGAAGCTTAAAAGTACTCATTATTTTTATATTTTGATTTAGGATGCAAATGGAGACATTAAATGCAAAACGAAGCTAATTAGACTATTTCGACATCATTTCGTTATCTGAGCATAATTCTCTCATCCAAGCTCCGATTGAGATGATTCAAGATGCTATGGAATGATACAAAAGAGCACTAAAAATTTCATGTTTTGAGAGATATTGACTGCATCAAGGTCTAAATCGAGCTTGAAGTTGCAGCAGTGCACTGTTCATAGCCTGTCTTTGTCCCTTTTCCATTTTCAATCAATTCCTAAGCTAACCAAATCTATCCCAAACCTCTCCAACACATATTTCTACACCAAACCTATTTAATACAAGTTCTAGGATCTAAAGTTTCATATTTTTATTTATTAAAACCAAATATCAACTATTATTTTCACTAACATTTTAAATCTCTACTTTTTCAATCTACCAAATTCAATCACACGTCACTACATATATCCACATTTTTTTTTATCACAATTATTTACTATATATCTATATACATATATAAAAGAAAATGCGGAGTGTTACACTTCTGCTGTTCAGTGTATAGCTCAAGGGACCCTAATCCTCATAAGTTGGTCTTCAACAAAAATTAGCGTGATTCTATTTTCCATTTGACTTAATCGTGAATGTCTCTCCTCTTTTTTTTTTGGTTATCTATTGATGCTATTCTTCTATATTAGTTATCTATTTTGAAGTGTCTGGTATATGCTTAACCTGTGATGCATAAAATATCTTTTTGCTTTTTTTTATTTTTTTATTTTACCTCATATTGTCACATGTTTGTGGCTTGTCTTACATGAATCTTGGAGTGCATAGGCGTGTCGCATATGACATAAATGCAGCTGTGTCGAATATTATTCTCACTACATATATATGGAATGATTGGAGATGGTCAAGCTATTCAGCTTTGACACAAAATGGTTGTTAATTCTGGGAAATGGCTTGAAGTTGAGTTGGAAATTTGCAAGAGTGGAGCATATTTTCTTAAGCCTCTACTCCCTGCTGTGGTCGAAATATGGTACGCTTTTCTCTGATCCTATTGTTGATGTTGAACCTTTACCGTTTACCTTTGACCTTTGAAGTCATTTCGCAACTTGTGTTCCTATGTTGCTCTTTGTGGGTTAGCACCTCCAATACAGAAAACTCTGTCACCGATAAAGTCAGTTTCCACTAGCCACTAGCTTGAATAATGTGGGCAGCATGGTTGCAATTGTTCTTCAAGCAATGGATGGATCATACATGTCGAATACTCGGTGGTCTTCTACCGTTCAGTGTATATCTCAAGGGACCCCAACCCTCGTAAGTTGATCTTCAACAAAAATTAGCATAATTCTATTTTTCATTTGACTTAATCATGAATATCTCTCCTTTTTTTTGGGTCATCTATAGATGCTATTCTTCTGTACCTAAGTTGATGATGCACATAATATCTTTTGGTTTTTTTTTTCTTTACCTCATGATGTGACATTGTGGCTTGCCTTACATGAATCTAGGAGTGCATAGGCGCGTCGATCTGACATAAATGCATCTGTGTCGAATATTATTCTCGCTAATTATATGTGGAGTGATTAGAGATGGTTAAGCTATTAAGCTTTGACAAAATATGTTTTTCTAAAGCAAGTTATTTCAAGGAATTATAGAGAGTGTTCTTGATAAAGGGATAAACATAAAGCGTGTTCCTGATAAAGGGATAAACATAGAGGGTGATTATGATAAATAGATGAACATGGAGGGTGACCAAACAAGAATCATGCCGAAGAGGAAGGAAAAGAAGGAAGAGGAGAGGAAAAGACGAAGATGATAGTCTTGGGCATTGGAGACGAGCTTGTTCGAGACTTGAGCTTTGTTGTGTAATCTCATACGAGAGACTCATATAGAGATTTGGTTGTGGATTATCTAAGCCCTAACTAAGAACACAGAGGCATCGCTTGTCCCAATCTTTCCCCTCTCAAGTTCTCTCTTCGTAGTCTTCTTCTTACTCCATTTCTTCTTTGTAGTGTTGTTGTTATTGTTATTGTTATTCTTCTTCTACTTCGCAATCATCTTCTTCGAAACTTCTTATTTGTAGGCTGTTTCTTTATTCTTCGTAGACTTCATTGTTCTTCTTCTTCATAGTCATCTTATAATTTTTTTTCTTCTTAGTAATCTTCTTCGTCTTTGTAGTCTTCTATTCGCATTCCTTCTTTCTTCGTAGTCTTTGTCAACATAGTCTTCATCTTTGTAATCTTCTTCTTTGTAGTCTTCTTCTTTGTCATTCGTCATCATAGTTGTCTTTTTCGTAGTCATCGTCTTCTTATTTTTCTTTATCATTTAGTTTTTTTTTTTAAACCTAAATCTTTAATGGTGAGATGACACTCTCTTAAAAGATCCAATGGTTCTATTTTACCTTCTTTTAAAGTTGAATTTTCTCTTCCTTTAAAAAAAGGTTTGTCCATTGGAAAGGTTTGTACCAATTCAAACTTTTTACCCTTTTTTTTACTCAAATTTGGGTTTGGATCTCCATTGGAGATGCTCTTATATTGCTACACAAACTAAATACAACCCAAAAAATTGTAACTCAAATACATATTATTTATTAGATTAGTGGATTCCATTAATTTTTTTAGTAGGACCCACTCATCCAAAGATTGATACATATTTGAATTGTAGTTTTTTTAGTCTTCTTATTCTTCTTCATACTATTTTTTTTTTCTTTGTAGTGATTGTTCTTGTTCGTAGTGTTCATGTTCTTGTTCTTCTTCATAATAGTCGTTTTATTCTTTATCTTCTTTATAGTAGTCGTCTTCTTCATAGTTTTTTTACTCGTATTTTATAAAAAGAAAACGGAGATGGTGGAGAAGAACATGGAGGGTGATTTGACACGCATCACGCCGAAGAGGGAGGAAAGGAAGAAGAGAGAGAGAACGAGGATGAAGATGATAGTCTTGGCCATTGGAGATAAGTTTGTTCGAGACTTGAACTTCATTGTGTAATCTCATACGAGATACACATATAGAGACACAGAGATTTGGTAGTAGACTATTTAAGCCCCAACCATGAACACATAGGAATCACAAATCCCTTTCCCCTCTCAGGTTCTCTTTCTCTCTCTTGGCAGTCTTTTTCTTATTCCATTTCTTTTTTATAGTGTTGTTATTCTTCTTCTTCTTCTTTGAAACTTCTTATTTATAGGCTGCTTCTTTCTTCTTCGTAGTCGTTTTAGTATTCTTCTTCGTAGACTTCATTCTTCTTCTTCTTCGTAGTCATCTTGCAGTTTTTTCCTTTTTCGTAATCTTATTCCTCCTTGTATTCTTCTTATTCACATTTCTTATTCTTCTTCTTCTTCATAGTCTTTGTCGTCGTAGTCTTCTTTTTCGTAATCTTTTTTTTTTTTTCTTAGTAGTCTTCTTCTCCGCCATTCATTGTCACAGTCTTCTTCTTTGCAATCATCGTCTTCGTATTTTTCTTTTTCAAGAATTTCTTTAGCATCATCTAGTCTTCTTCTTTTTTGTAGTCTTTTTCTTCTTCTTCTTCTTCGTTTTCGTGGTGTAGTTCTTCCTCGTAGTGTTCTTGTTCATAGTGTCCATGTTCTTATTCTTCTTCATAGTCATCTTCTTGTTTATCTTCTTCTTCATAGTAGTCGTCTTCTTTATAGTCTTTTTACTTGTATTTTGATAAAAGAGATAAAATAGAGGGTATTCCTTATAAAGAAATAAACATAGAGGTTGATTCTGATAAAGAGATGAACGTGGAAGGTGACTTGATACGCATCACGCCAGAGATGAAGAAAATGAAGAAAAGATAGAGAGAGAGAGAACGCGAATGAAGATGATGGTCTTGGCCATCGGAGATGAGTTTGTTCGAGACTTGAGCTTCGTTGTGTAATCTAAAATAAGAGACAGAGATTTGGCAGTGGATTATCTAAGTACCAACCACGAACACAACAGCATCGTAAGAGCACAAAGGCATACCTGAACTTGTGTTCATTGTTCCAACCACAACTTGCCCACCTAAACCAACAGAAAGAGCAACTCCTTGGCTTACAACAGCTTTCTCATTGCCACTCCCTCGACGACTGCCAGGGTTATCAAGAGCATTAAGTTCCAACTCAACTTCAACCCATCTCTTTATCAGGAACACTCTAAGTTATCTCTTTATCAAAATACGAGTAAGAAGACTACGAAAAAGACAATTACTATAAAGAAGATAAAGAAGAAGAATACAACTATAAAGAAGAATAAGAACATGACACTACAAATAAGAAAAAGAACACTATGAAGAAGAAAAATAAGACTAGATGATGGAGAGAATAAGTTCTTGAAGAAGATAAATATGAAGTCGATGACTCCGATGAAGAAGACTTTGACGGCAAATGACGCAGAAGAAGAAGACTATGAAGAAGATAAATAAGAAAAAGAAGACTACAATGACAAAGACTACGAAGATGAAAAAAAATATGGAATATAAATAAAAAGACTGCAAAGAGGAAGAATATTATGAAAAAGAAAAAAATTACAAGTTGACTACAAAGAAGAAGACGATTTTGAAGAAGAAAGAAGTAGCCTACAAATAAAAAGTTTTGAAGAAGACTGTGAAGAAGAATATGAAAAACAACAATACTACAAAGAAGATATGAAAAAAGAAAAAGACTACGAAGAGGGAGAGAGAACTTGAAAGGGGAAAAACTGGGACTTGTGATGTCTTTGTGTTCATGGTTGGGCTTGAATAATCCACAACCAAATTTCCGTGTCTCCATACGTGTGTCTCTCATATGAGATTACACAACGAATCTCAAGTCTTGAACAAACTCATCTAGAATGGCCAAGACTATCATCTTCAACCTCGTTTTCTGTTTCTCTCTTCTTCCTTTCTTCCTCTCCGGTGTGATGTGTGGCAGGTCACCCTCCATGCTTATCTCTTTGTCAGAATCATCTTTTTATGTTCATCTCTTTTTCAGAAACACTCTCTATGTTATCTCTTTATCAAAATATGAGTAAGAAGACGACTACTATAAAGAAGAAAAAAAAATAAGAAGACTACCATGAAGAAGTACAAGAACATGGACACTACAAAGAAGAAAAAGAACAGTACGAAGAAGAAGAACAAGAAGACGACTAAGAAGAAAAAAGAAGATTGGATGATGGAGAAGAAGTTCTTGAAAAAGACTAAGAGAAAAAAGACTAGATGATGGAGAAAAAGAAGTTCTTGAAGAAGAAACATAAGAAGACAAAGACTACGAAGAAAAAGACTACGACAACGAATGACGGATAAGAAGAAGATTACGAAGATGAAGACTACGAGGACGAAAATTACGAAGAAGACGAAGGAGGAATACGAAGAAGAATACTACAAAGAGGAAGAAGATTACGAAAAAGAAAAAAAAACTATATGATGACTATGAAGAAGAAAGAAACAATCTACAAATAAGAAGTTCCGAAGAAGATTGTGCAGCAAAAAAAGAAGAATAACACTACAAAGAAGAAATGCAATAAGAAGACTACGAAGAGAGAACTTGAAAGGGAAAGACTGAGACTTGTGATGCCTCTGTGTTCGTAGCTGGGGCTTATATAATCCACAACCAAAACTTTGTGTCTCCATATGTGTCTCTTGTATGAGATTACAAAACTCAACTCAACTCTGGAACAAACTTATCTCCAATGGACAAGACTATCATCATCATTGTGCGTGTGTTCTCTCTCTCTTCCTTTCCTTCCTCTCCGGCGTGATGCTTGTTTGGTCACCCTCCATGTTCATCTATTTATCAAAATCATCCTCTATATTCATCTCGTTATTAGGAACACCGTCTATGTTATCTCTTTATCAAAATTCGAATAAGAAGACGACTACTATAAAGAAGTTAAAAAACAAGAATATGACTATGAAGAAAAAGAAGAATAGGAACATGAACATTACAAACAAGAACAAGAATACTTCGAAGAAGAAATATAAGAAGACTCAAAAGAAGAAGACTACGAAAAAAAGAAGATTAGATGATGGAGGATAAGTTCTTGAAGAAGAAAAATATTAAGACAATGACTATGAAGACGAAGACTTTGACGACGAATGACGGAGAAGAAGAAAAAAAATTACGAAGAAGATTACGACGACAAATACTAAGAAGAACAAGAATAAGAAATATGAATAAGAAGACTCCAAAGAGGAAAAAGATTACGAAAAAGAAAAAAAAATTACATGATGACTAAGAAGAAAAAGAAGAAGAATAAGACAACTTTGAAGAAGAAAGAAGTAGGATATAAATAAGAAGTTTGAAGAGCAACAACATTACTACAAAGAAGAAATATTATAAGAAGACTGCATATAGAGAGAGACCTGAAAGGAGAAAAACTGGGACTTGTGATGCCTCTGTGTTTATAGTTGGGACTCAGATTATCCACAATCAAATCTCTGCGTCTCCATATGTCTGTCTCTTGTATGAGATTTACACAAGAAGCCTCAAGTCTTGAACAAACTCATATTCAATGGCCAAGACTATCATTTTCATCCTCTTTCTCTCTTTCCTTTTCCTTCCGTTCCTCTCCAGCATAATGGTTGTCAGGTCACCCTCCATGTTCATCTCTATATCAGAATCACCCTCTATGTTCATCTCTTTATTAGAAACACCTTCTATGTTAGCGCTTTATCAAAATAAAAGTAAGAAGATTACAAAGAAGACGACTACTATAAAGAAGATAAAGAACAAGAAGACAACTATGAAGAAGAAGACCAAGAACATGAATACTACGAAGTAGAATAAGTAGAAGAAGATGAAGAAGATGAAGAAAAAGTAGAAGAAGAAGAAGAAGATGAGGAAGAAGAAGATTACAAATAAGAAGAAGGTGAAGAAAAAGACTACAAATACGAAGAAAATTACAGAAAAAAAAAAGAAGACTAGATGACGGAGAATAAGAAGTTCTTGAAGAAGAAAAATAAAAAGACGATGCTACAAAGAAGAAGATTTTGACGACGACAGGCACAACAAAAGACTAAGAAGAAAAATAAGAAGAAGAAGATTACGAAGAAGACTATGATGACAAAGACTACAAAATAGAAGAAGACGATCAAGGAATACAAATAAGAACATTACAAAGAGAAAGCATATTACAAAAAAAAACAACTACAAGATGACTACAAAGGAGAAGAAAAAAATGATTTTGAAGAAAAAAGAAGCAGCCTACAAATTAGAAGTTTTGATGCTGAAAAACACTACAAAGAAGAAGAAGACAAAGAATAATAACACTACAAAGAAGAAATGAAAAAGAAGAAGATTGCAAAGAGAGAGACCTTGAGAGGGAAAAAAATGGGACTTGCAATGTCTTTGTGTTCATGGTTGGGGCTTAGATAATCCACAACCAAATCTCTATATCCTCATATGTGTCTCTCGTATGATCTTACACAACAAAGCTCAAGTCTTGAACAAACTTATCTCTAATGGCTAAGACCTAAAATATAGGATATGGGTACAGAGAGGATACATCTAATTAAAATAATAAAATATATTTTTTATATATAATAACATTAATAATAAAATTGAGCAATTAATTCATATTTTATAATTAGGCAAATGAGTTAATATTAAATTTGATTAGTGGACTAATATGTTATGGACAGTGGGATAAACCAAATTGGTTAGTGGATGACAACTAATAAGGTGTGATTGTAATTTAGCATAAAATATAAGAAGTTCAAGGGTTATTTGTAATTTAGCAATTAGGGCAAAGAACAAAAGAAAAAAAAGAAAAGAAAATAGGGGCTAAAAAGTAAGTAGGGGCAAGCCGTTGCTAAAAAGGAAAAAAAAAGAGAAGAAAATGTTACTTTTCAGCAACTAGGGCAAGCCGGTGGAGCAAAGTCACATGTCGACAATCAAATCTGATTGCATCAGAAAGAGAGAGAGTGTGTGGTCGAAGTCGATTGAGGTTCGAAATCGTAAATCTAGAGAGGTTCGCAGTCAAAGTCGTAGAAGTGTTATGGTCTTCTTCCTTGCAGTCGCAGTTGATCAAAGACAAAGTCTTCCTCTCTCTCTCTCTCGCTGGACTGGTGGAATTTGGGAGGGAAAGGAACGAAGTCAAACAAATGATCGAAGCCTTTTCCCCTTTATGTTTTCTAGAACCCTGTTGTATCCCCAAGTATCCCTCGCGTATCTATTCTGTATCCAGATACAAAAATAGCTCATCTCATGTGTAGGACACCTTCCCTAAGTATCTGTGCTTCCAAGCCCAAGACTCTCATCTTCATCCTCGTTCTCTCTTTCTCTCTCTCTCTTCTTTTCTTCCTCTCTGATGTGATGCTTGTCAAGTCACCCTCCATATTCATCTTTGTTAGAATCACCTTTTATGTTTATCTCTTTATCAGAAACATCCTCTATATTATCTTTTTATCAAAATACGAGTAATAAGACTACGAAAAATACTACTACTATAAAGAAGATAAAGAACAAGAAGACAACTATGAAGAAGATGAACAAGAGCATGGACACTACAAATATTAATAAGAACAAGAACACTACAAAGAAAAACACCACGAAGAAAAAGAATAAAAAGATTACAAAGAAGAAGACTACAAAAAAAGAAAAGTAGATGTGGATAAGTTCTTGAAGAAGAAAAATAAGAAGATGATGCCTACGAAAAAGAAGACTACGAAGAAGATAAATAAGAAAAAAATTATGAAGAAAACTGTGACAACAAAGGCTACAAAGAAGATGGAGAAGGAATATGAATAAGAAGACTATGAAGAGAAAGATTACGAAAAAGAAAAAAATTGCAAGATGATTATGAAGAAGAAGAAGAAGAAGAAGACACCTTTGAAAAAGAAAGAAATAGCCTACAAATAAGAAGTTTTGAAGAAGAAGAAGTAGGAGTACAACAACACACTATAAAGAAGAAATGAAATAAGAAAACTGTGAAAAGAGAGAGAAGTTGAGTGGGTAAAAACTAGGACTTGTGATGCCTTTGTATGTATGGTTGGGGCTTAGATAGTCCACAATCAAATCTTTGTGTCTCCATATGCGTCTCCCATATAAGATTACGCAACGAAGCTCAAGTCTCAAACAAACTTATTTCCAATGGCTAAGACTATCATCCTCATCCTTGTTCCCTCTCTTTCCTATTCATTTCCTTCCTTTCCAGTGCGCTGCGTGTTAGGTTACCGTTCATAATCATATGTTTATCAGAATCGTCCTCTTTGTTCATCTCTTTGTTAGAAACATCCTATATGCTCTCTTTATGAAAATATGAGTAAGAAGACTACAAAGAAGACGATTTCTATAAAAAAATATAAAGAATAAGAAGACTATGAAGAACAAGAACTAGAACATCAACACTCTATGAAACACGGACACACTCAAGAAAGTTATGTATCTGTGTCGGACACGTGTCGAACATGGACACTCTTTGAACACTCTTGGATACGTGTCTGATACTCTTTTATCTGTGTTCATAATTAAATGATAAAATTTTAATTTCGAACACGTGTCCAACAAGTCTTTAAAACATTACTACTAAACAATAAATATGTGTTGAAATGTGATTTTAAAAAATTTTAGAACATATAATTACTAACACTAGATATATTAAAATTGTATTCCAAAAATAATAATAAAAACAAAAGATGCATAAAAGTTTAAAAAATGAGAAATTGAGAAAATGAGAGTAATTATTTAAATTATAGTAGGTACACATTATTTATAAATTGATGATTATTGATTATTATGATGATATTTTAGTCTAAACACTTACACAGACTATACATAAGATTTACTTATCATAAAATACTGAATCTTTTATAAGTTGCATATTATTATCACTATATTTGTGATAAATTATAAAATGTGATATATAAAATATAATTTTTTGTAACGTATCTCCAATGTGTGCATGTCCTACTTTTTTGAGAAATGTCATGTCTGTGTGTTCA